CGCAGTCTAACGTCCCCATTCCGGATAAATCCGGCTGGGTTTTCAGTACGTCCGCTCCTCTCTGCCAGACACTCCCGACCCCTGCTCAGGCTCCGCCCGCCTCTGCTGCGATTTGCCCCTGGGCGGAGCCCGCAGCAGCGTCTGACTCTCCGCGGGGGGCAGAGGGAGGCAGCACCATCTGCGCTATTGCCTCTGGGAAGCGCCGGGCGGGAGGGATCGGAGGAGCCGAGGTGCAAAGGCACCGGGGGTGGGGGAACAGCAGGGGTCCAGCTCCATGTGTCAGGCCGATTCCTGCAACCGCTCGTTTTTCTTCGGGAGTCTTGACAAATTTTAACTGATACATGTTGTGTGGCGTGCGGGTACAGAGGGGAAAGAGGAGCAAAGGCCTGGAGGTGATGTTGCTTGTCCAAGAGTGCAGAGAAAGACTTTGGAATAGGGTTTACACAAAATACAGGACTGTGTAGCACTTTAAAGACTAACAAGATGGTTTATTAGATGATGAGCTTTTGTGGGCCAGACCCACTTCCTCAGATCAAATAGTGAAAGAAAATTGTCACAACCATATATACCAAAGGATACAATTAAAAAAATGAACACATATGAAAAGGACAAATCACATTACAGAACAGAGGGCGGATGGGGGGGGGGGAAGGAAGGTAAATGCTTGTGAGTTAATGATATTAGAGGTGGGGAAGGGGAGATGTCTGTGAGTTAATGGTATTAGAGATGATAATTGGGGAAGCTATCTTTGTAATGGGTAAGGTAGTTGGGGTCTTTGTTCAGCCCCCTGCGAAGAGTGTCGAATTTTAACATGAATGACAGTTCAGAGGATTCCCTTTCAAGTGCAGATTTGAATGTCTTCTGAAGTAGGATTAGGTGATGCGTGATGCGTGTGATTAGGTCATTGAGACAGTGTCCTTTCTGGTTGAAATGGCAAGAAACTGTTTTTTCTTTGTGATCCTGTCTAATGTCTGTTTTGTGGGCATTGATTCTTTGGCGAAGTGTCTGAGACGTTTGTCCAATGTACATAGCAGACGGACACTTTCGGCACATGATAGCATAGATTATATTTCTGGATGCGCAGGAATATGTATTCTTGATCTTATAACTCACTTGGTTAGGCCCAATAATGGTATCAGCAGAGTGAATATGTGGACAAAGCTGGCAACGGGGTTTGTTGCAAGGGAAAGTACCAGGGTTGGTATTAGTGTGGTATGTCCTTTGGTTGTTGGTAAGAATCATCTTGAGGTTAGGTGGTTGTCTATAGGAGACTATGGGGTTTAAGAATCCTTAATTCTCAGGGTTTATTCTCATATTACTCGGTCACACCCCGTCTGGATGCTGGAATATTTTCTTATTAAATTCTTGCCAATTGGTAGCATTTTGACTTCTTGACAGACCTTTTCAACAGGTGGTTTGGACCGGGTTATTAGCAAGAAAATTTATTGTTTCTCTTGCATCTATTCTACTGTAAATATTTACAAAACACACTAAAAAAAGCCCAACAAACATTAAAAACAAAGCAGCGAGTGAAATTTATTTGTAAACGTTGTGTTCATCTGTTAGCTTTACTAGTTACTATCAGAAGCCCAAAATTTTTGGGGGGATGCGAGGTGGACAAATCTTGGGGGTCCCAAAATCCATGAGAATCTGAGTTTTGAGAGTTGATTGTGCATTGAGATATGTAGTAAAATAAAACAAAACTTTACTTATTTTTAAAGAAGATACTTTATAGCCACTTCTATCATCTGCTCGTACACCAGTGTGTTATAGCATGTCCAACTGTGTAATTTTGTCTGCTGTATGTCTTTGAAAATAATTTAAAACTCGTGTTTTGGTAACGGTTTCAAATTGTCTAATCTGAGTGCATATAGAAATTAAGTTAAAAGTGCTGAAAAACAGCTTTTGTGTCTACACCAAAATCTATACTCTGTTGTGTGAGAATGTATCTTCAAGAATGTATTTTAAACCCTTTTCGGTAGCTGCCAGTGTACAGTGCTGGATAATATTGCTCATGTTTCCAAATTAAATCGGTCTGGGGAAATATTTCTTTTTAGTGATATAATAACTGGTAGTGGATTTTAACTGGATTTTATTATGGAATATTGTTTTGTCATTTTCCAGTTACACAATTTTGCTGCATGTCAGAAATAAAAGGGAACTCTTCAGCTCCCTTCCAATGCCTTTACTTGCCTTCTATAGTTACACTTTCTTTTTGGTACTTTACATACATATTAAAGTTAAAACAATTGCTTAGATGGAGAAAATAATTCATATTAATTTAAAAATGGAAAATAACCTGTTTTATATGGTACATATTTCTGGAAGTTAATGTGAAAACAACAGAATGCAAATATGTACATGTGTAAATAGACAAAAACAACAGTGCTATTAAAAAAGCAGATGATGTGTCTTGTGACAGAGGGGATGAAATAATGTCTGACTGAAAATTGAGAAGTGTCTTCAGCAAGGCTACGTCTACACTGGCATGATTTTCCGGAAATGCTTTTAACGGAAAAGTTTTCCATTAAAAGCATTTTCGGAAAAGTGCATCTAGATTGGCAGGATGCTTTTCTGGAAAAGCACTTTTTGTGGAAAAGCATCTGTGGCCAATCTAGACGTGCTTTTCTGAAAAAAAAAGCCCCGATCGCCATTTTCACAAGCTTAGCTGTTAAATGTTACTGCTGTGTTACAGATACCGCAGCCACTACAAAAGCCAAGAAGAAAATACAATGAAAAGTCACTTAAAGGTACCATGAAACCCTTTTGGTTCTCTGAGCTCTTATTGAATGCATGCAAAAATAGACACCTAGCGAGTATATTCTTACTCCTGCGATCCTTACTCCGGCGAAGCCAGCGTTTCTCTCAGTCCCAATGGGAAGCAGTCGGTACGAGACAAATGCATCCCTAAAGTCTTGGGGGTCCAAGACTGCCTGACCAGCAGGTATATGGGTGGATCTCCAATTAGAGTGGGGCACACGACCACACTTTATACCCCTGTGGTCACATAGACGCTTCTCTTGTCATTAAAATGCCAATTAAGTTGGAACGTCTTTGTGACGCCCATTCCCACAGGGGGTCCAAAGCTTCATTTGCACGTGTGAGGTGGAGGTAACTAAATCATTAGGGCCAGACGTCCTTTTTCTGATGGGGCGGTAGATTCCTCTTCTGGAATGGTGTGTGTAGGCGTATCAGTACCGGTACCAGCCAAAGGTAGCCCAAGACCCCCGACCACCTGCTGGCCCAATTGTTGCTGTGATCTGGTTCCTGTCTAGCAGCCAGGGCCATTGTTATTCCAGCACCTCTGGAGGCCCTGGAGCCTTTGAAGACAGTTTTGCTCTCAAGGATTCTCTCTCCCAAGTGTGTCAGAGGGAGGAGGGGGGGTTATGTCTGGCTACACCATGGCTCCAGCACATGGTGCAGCCGCCTTCCATGTGGCCCTACCCCAGGAGTAGCCGGGCAACAACCATGGGTAGGGAAGTGGGGATTGGGCAAGTCTGTGCAAGGGCAAAACTGACCACACGAGTGCATTACACAGCTGGCTACAGGGCCAGGAAAGGGGCCAAGGGGCAACATTGGGGCAGGAGAGAGGCTATGTGAGCCACTAGCAAAGGGGAAACCCCAGGATAGGGACTGGCAGAGGGGTTGGAAGTGATAGGGGTGGGGACAGGGAGTCCTCTACAGTGCTAGTAAAAATGGAGTGTAGGGGCAGTTATGGTGTGTTTCCCATTTCCAAGTTGGGACATCTCAGGGCCTGCTTCCCAGGGCTGTGATCTGAATGGCACAATCTTATCCAGGGCTTAGACAAGACAGTTCTTCCTTGCAACTTAAGTGTGGTTGCATATACTTGCAAATATATATGCAAATAGCTCCTTTCATACTGATGGGCATGAATACAAAGATTAAGGCAAGACTACATGTGATGGATTTACCGGGTGCGAGCGCCCCCTCCCAACAGAGCAGGGGGGTTGAGCGGACCCACTGTCTGAGTCTGATGTGTTTCTGTCCCGGGACTCCAGGGCCTGCTCCCCGGGGAGCGGTATGTGAGCGCAATCGCCCGGTGCTGAGTTGGTGCCAGGGTTCGGCGGACTCACTGCCCCGCCCTTGTTAGGGTCCAGGGGTCCCATAGGGTAGGGGGGATTTCCAGGGGCCAGTTCCAAGGAAACGTCCTCCCCGGAAGGGGGGGTGTAATATCAAGCGTTCGGTTCGCGTTCAAGGTCACCTGGCTCCCCAGAAGTTACGGCGTGACGTAGTTAATGGGTAGGTTGAGGCAGCGGGGACAAAAAGGGGGGAGGAGTGGGGGACCCGGGCCTACCCTCTCCACCGGGTCCCAGCCCAGGGCCCTAAGTGGGGGACAACTAACATGTTCCCTCTACGACAGGTGGGGACGATC